TCTCCTCTCTCTCTCTCTCTCTCTCTCTCTCTCTCTCTCTCGTGTGTGTGTGTGTGTCTGTGTGTGTAATCAGACACTGTCTCAAGCAAAACAAAACAAAACAAAACAAACAACCCTACATCTTATGGCTCCTGGGTTCTGCTGTGCCTCCTGTCTACAATCAGACAGAGAAAGCCATATCTTCTTTCTTCAGAACCTCCACGTCCATGCAATTTCCAAAATGGCCAGGACAGTGGTTCTCAGTGGAAGTAACTTTGCTCCTTCAGCACCTTTTGGGGACATGTCAGGTTGTCACAGATGTAAGGCATAGGAGCTACAGACATCCGGCTCAGAGGTCAAAGATGTTGGTATCCATCCTAAAAGACATGGGTCGACATTTATGGGTTGGCCATACCGTACATAAATGCCTACCCCACAGGACAGAAATGCTCATTTCGAGGAGCCCTAGAACAGGACAGAGACTCTGACAGAGAGGAGTAACGGTTAGGGCTGTGCAGGGAAGGATGAGGTGGGAGAAGAAAGCCCCGGAAAGGTCCCACTTTCGTCTTCACCTCAGCTTGCCTCTGTCTGCTCTTGGAAGGATCTGACCCAGCAGTTCAGTTTCCTGCCCAATGCTGGAAGCGGCCAGCAAACCAAACTGCCGCGTCTCCCGGGGGCGCTTTTCACCTTCAGGAAAGTCTGGCTTTCTCCTTCCCACTTAAGCCAACATGGCGCGTGTGACCATCTCCCTCACCAGCTGGCAGGTTTCTTGAATGATTGGGTACCCATGGCATCTGCAGTTCCTCGCTTTGCCACATGTGCAGAGTCTAGCCTGGGTCCGGGCTCTTCTCACTCACTGTCTCTGGAATTGTGGCTCTTGCTTGCTCTGGCCACCTGTGCGGTGGCCATTGCGTTTTCAAGTCTGCTTCTGCCATTTAAGGTTAGATGTCTGGGGTTGATGACATCATCAGTAGTGGAGTGGACTCCTGGAGGATTCTTTTCCTTTAAGTAAACAGAATCAAGGCCTCCCAGGCAGGCAAAACTGTCATGTTTAATAACTCTTAGACTTGACGTGTGCTTTTATTTTTTAAAAACCTGATTATCTTAGGTAATTGAGACCTCACAAAAATAAGTAAAAGTTGAGCTAGTTAGTTCTTTTCTTCATCTGGCAGGCCCCCTCTCCTACTTCTCTCTAAAAAAGAAATTTTCAATTTGAAGCATGTTGTTTTTCTTATACTAAGAAATAATTTTTTCTTATCCTTTTCTCAACTAACCAGTGCATTTACAAATAAATTTTAACTGTTATAAGATGGTTTATTATCTATTGAAATTGTAGAAATTAAAGTAAAGAAAATTACTATTGTCTCTGTTACCGAAAGTAAAAAAAAAAAAAAAACACAAGTGGAGATTTCCTCCCACTTAGCTTCTTTTCTCTGAATGGTATTTTTGGATACAACTCCAATCATACTGTTTTTTCTTTTCTAAATTCAAACTCAGAAACTTTTAAAACATTAGATCATAGGGAATTTTCAGAGTCACCATAAACACTTTATAAAGTACTTTGTATCATTTTTATTTATAAAATTTGAATTTTGAATTGTGTGTATGTAGGCTGGAGAGACTGGTCAGTGCTTAAGAGAGCCTATAGCTTTTATAGAGAACCTGAGTTCAGTTCCCAGAACCCATGTTAGGCACCTTACAACTGTCTGTGATTCAAGTTCCAAGGGCTCTGACGCCCTCTTCTGGCCTCCACAGGGACCTACAGGTACATTCTCTCACACATAGAAAAACAGTTAAAAATAGAATAGGAACCTTTAAAATTTGTGTACAGCTGGTGTTAAAAGATCTGAGTATGCCTTAATGTCACCCCCATTCCTGAAGGAAGTTTTTGTTAGGCATAACAGTCTTGTCTTTGAGAACTTCAGAAACAATTTACAACTGTCTTCTAGACGCCATGGTTTCTGGTGAGAAATTTACAGTTCCTCAAATGGTCACTCCTCTGCATGTAGCACATCATCTTTCTGCAACAGATTTGAATGCTGAGAAGCAGAGAAGGGCTGCCTCTCTGGCTCTCTGTAGGCAAGAGAAGGCTTCCCTTGGAACTTGTTTAGTCCATACCTGCTGCAAAGTTCTAGGGTTTATTATCCAGTGTCTATGTAGGTAATGCAGGGGCAGGGACCTGGGACACTCACTGCTACATCTATATTTCTCCCTATTTTGATGTCTTTCCCCACGTCAGATGTTATTGTTTATTTTTCAGAGTACCCTGCTACCTTTGCTTACATTCTGTCTTGGGCTTTAGCTGCCTTCTGTAGAAGGTTTGGGAGGACATACCTCCCAGACAGAATCAAAGTCTGACAAATTATTTTTCATGGTTGCTTGTTATCTCAGAAAGCACATGTGCCATGGCTCCTGGAAAGTTTCTCCTATTAGATTGTAAATAATTTCTGTTTGTTTACCCCGATATAAATAAGCAAGGGATTTCTGTTTTAAAAAGAAAAACTGTTGTCTTGTAAGAAGTATGTGGGAGTAGAATTATTGCAACAAATAATTTGGACATTTTTGGATCCCTATGCTTTCTTCTGCCTAGAATACCCAATGATGTAATTTCCCACAAGTGGACCCTTCTGCCATTTAGCTCCTCCAAAAGCATCCGACCCTCCTCCTGTTCCCTGCTGGGCACGCTGTCAGCCTGTTTTAATGTCTCTCTTCACAGCTCATTTGTCTCTTTCCCTCTCTCTCTCTCTCTTTTTTGAAATACTTATTTATTTAGCGATAGGGTCTCATGTGTCTTGGCTGGCCTCAAACATTCTGTGTAGCTGAGGATGGCCTTGTTAAGGTTTAAGATGGGGTGTTTAAGATGGTGTCATCTTTGTCTGACTGCCCAGACCTCAAAAGTATGTGATGGAAGGGCTCAGCACCCTTGACAGCCACCAGAGGGACTTAGG